ATAAGAAAAATGTGGTACAATTACACAGTGGAGTTCTACTCAGCTGTAAAAAACAATGGCATCATGAAATTTACAGGCAAATAGATGGATCTAGAAAACATCATTCTGAGTGAGGTAACCCAGACCCAGAAAGACAAACATGGTATGTATTCACTCATAGGTGATTATTAGGAGTAAAGTATAGACTAACCAACCTACAATCACAACCCCAGAGAGTCTAGATAGCAAGGCGGGCCCAAAGAGGGATGTATGGATTTCTTTGGGAAGGGAAAGTTAGAAAGATCTTCTGGGCAAACTGGGAGAGGGGAGATGGAGGGATGGGAATTAGGAGTAGGTTGGGCAGGCTGGGTGTGGGTGGCAAATTGAAGGCAGGATAAAGGGCAGAATAACAAAAGAGACATCTTGGTAGGAGATGTATTTCAGGGTTAGGGAGAAATCTGGTGCCATGGAAAACCCCAGGAATGCACAGGATGATGCCAGCTAAAACTCCTAGCGATAGTGCAGAAGGTGCCTGAACAGCAGATTGGCGGCTTCCCTAACTGCCATCAGAGATACCCTATCCAGTAACTGAAATAAGCACAGGCAGAGATCCACAGACAAGCACTGTGCTGAGCTCTGAGAGTCTTACAGAAGAAAGGGAGGAGGGGTTGTACCAGCCAGGGATGGTCAGGATGGGGGAACTCACAAAGAGAGCTGACCTGAGTTCCCAGGAGCTCATGGATGCTGGACCAACAGCTAGGGAGCCTGCATGGGACCAACCTAGGCCCTCTGCAGGTGTGTGATAATCTGTAGCTCAGTTTCCTAGTAAGGCTTCTAATAGTGAGAGCAGGACCTCTCCCTGGCACTTAGCTAACTTTTGGTAACCTGTTCCCCATGCTAGATTACCTCTACATAAAGGAAGAATCTTAGTCCTGCCCCAAGTTGATGTGCCATGCTTTGTGCAAGCCCACGGGAGGTCTGTCCCTTTCTGAATGGAGATGGGGAAGTTGCAGATGGGGAGGAGGGTAGATGGGAAAGGGGGAGGGATGGAAGGAGAGGAGGGAGGAGAAACTGGATGGCATGTAAAATAATGGGATAAAAAGTTATTTAAATAAAATGAAAAAGAAAAAAATATAAAGGATCATTATCAACCACCCTTGGAAGGAAGGCAGAAGAAACTTCTCAAGGGTCAATTTAAAAGTTCAAATTCCAGGCTGATAAGAGAAGGTGGTGGGTGGAAAGAGAGCTCTGCCCAGGCACTGGAAGGACTGGGAGTGCTAGAACAGCCATCACGCACAATGTGATCCATGAAACCAATGTGACCGTTATCAACATCCCAAAGCCCTCCCATACGTGATGCTGAGACACCTGGCTGTCTCCATGCAGAAAGGATGAAATCTCCAACAAGGATGTGGAAGAGATTAATGCCATCAGTAACAGAGGAAATGCAAGCGAAAACCACAGTGAGGGGTCACCTCTGTTGCATGACTTTTACCAAGAGAGAGAGAGGAACATTGAGATAAGAATGTGAAGGAAAAAGAACCTCTACACAGTGCTATTATATATGTAAATTAGCACCAACATTTTGGAAAACAGTATAGAGGCTTATTAAAAGCTAAGATTAGGTCATTAAGATGGCACCTGCTGTCAAACCTGATGGCCAGAGTTCATTTCGTGGAACCCCCATGGTGGAAAGAAGGAACCAGCTTCTCCAAGTTGTTTTCTGACCTCATTGTGTGCACCATGGTATACACACACATATACACTCATGCACATAAATAAATAATGTCATAAAATATGTCTTTTAAAAAACTAAAAGTAAAAACTGAACCAAGATCCTCTGCAAGAGCAACAAGCACTCCTAACCTCTAAGCCATTCCTTCAGCCTCCCCAAAATTATTTTTAACTGAGAAATCTAACCCATATAGTCCAGAAATACCCACTTTGACTGTATATGCAAAGGGATTGTAATTACTTATGCAGAAGAGATGTCTGCCCTCATGTACATTGCAGTATATTCACAGTAAGCAAGATATAGAAATTGTTGCCACCAGTGAATGAATGAATGAAAGTCCTGTTGTTTGTGATGTGAATGAATGTAAAAGCCATGCTAAGTCAAAGACACCATGGCCAGAAAAGCAGATGCGGTATGGTCTCATTTGTATGTGGCGTCTAAAAGAGGTGAGTTCATAGAAGTAGAAAGTAGAATAGCAATGACCAAGGTCTGGGGATTGGGAAAAGATGAGACAGGGCCAGCATGAGCCAAAAACACAGTTCAGATAGGAAGCACCAATGGGATCCTGCAAGAATTACCAAGAATAATTTGTATTTGTTCATAATACAAACAAATGTTAAGCGTGTGAGGTGAGGGGTATGATAATTAGCTTGATTGGATAACTGCACAATGTATAGATGCCTGGAAACATCACAATGCTCCTCTCAAACATACACACACACACACACAGAGAGAGAGAGAGAGAGAGAGAGAGAGAGAGAGAGAGAGAGAGAGAGAGAATCTCCAGGTCAGGTCCAAAGACCTATAAGCCTAGCTAATGGGGTAGGGGTGTTGAGGAAGGAAGATTCCTAGTCCAATGACTATCTGGACTACATTTGAGTTCAAGGGCAGCCTGGGCAACTTAGTGAGGTTTACAAGTTAAGAATAATTTTTGGTGGGGGGGGGGGGGTTGTAAAGATGCCTTAGAGGTTAAGAGAACTTCTTGCTCTTACAGAGGATGCTGGTTTAGCACCAGCACCTACATGGTGACACACAGCCTTCTGTAACTCCAGTTCAGACAACTAGACATCCTCTTCTGACTGCATAAGCACCAAGTAGACAGGCAAAACACACGAATTACATGGAATATAGTAAATACATCTTTTAAAATTATAATCTTAATAAGTTGTCTTTAAAAGCAAAATATGTCTTTTCAGATAGAAAGTAGCAAGGCAGATGGTCAATTTGTTTGAAACAAACAAAGCTATTAGAGAACTATTATAAACTCCATCAGAATTTATATTGTTTAAATCACTTTGTTCTTCTGCTCTAAATAGCAACTTTATCTTTGTTTTGATTTTGAAGATCATAACTGGAGTCAAAACCACAATGGGAGGCTGGGGAATAGTTCAGAGGTACCGCTCTTGCCTACCAGGCCCTGGGTTCAATCCCCAGTGCAGAAAGGAACCAGGGCTGAGGGAGTGGGAGGAGAGGCACAGGCTTCAGCTCAAACTTCAGCTGTTGCATAAATATGGTTGCATCATGTCTCAGACACCACCTGAATGTGTAATTTGCATAGTCTTCTGGCACCTACAAATTACACAGGAAGAAGTTTCTGGAATGTGGGCCTTAGAAAGGCGTATAAATGAAACCATTGATACAAATCTCTAAGGACTAAGTTCAACACCTTGAGTTACATGGGAAATGAACAGGCGGCCAAGGGAACACAGGTGTGGTATGTCCAAAAGAGCCCACACTTTCAAGTGTCCGGGCAGCCATGTTCTGCTCAAGCTGCATCCCCCGGGTGGTCCAGCTAACAAAGCTTCCTGTCATAAAGCTATCGTTCAGTACAAGGCGAGTGCATTGTGAATGCCAGGTTCAAAGCAGTTCATTGAAAACTTCTTGGGAAGTAATTAAAGCAAGCTGGGGTTTGGGACTTTCTCCAGGAGGAAGCCCATTTTGAGAACAGCTTTCCAATTCACAGGATTCATAAGCCAAGGGCAGGCTTAGTTCAGAAGAATAAACACACACACACACACACACACACACACACATGCATGCACACACACATGCACATACAGGCACACACACGCATCCACACATACATACACACGCACACACACAGACACATACAAATTCACACACAAGCACACACTCTTATATACATACACACATGCGCTCACACAGACACGTTTCCGTGCATGCGCGTGCACACACACACACACACACACACACACACACAGACACCTATGCACGCACCTTACAAATTCCAAGATTAAAAAGCAGAATTGAAGGCCGGGCCAGAGCACAGCAGAAGAGTATGGGCTTAAAGAATATGAGATATTTTGTCTCCAAGATCATCTGTTATTGGGCTCTCTGACTTGATTGCAACTACTGTCTGCAGACCCAAATCTTTACAGAAGAACTGTAGGTGCAGCTGCTGCCTGCCCACCAGCCATTCAGCTCAGCTCTGGCATGCTTTGGTTTGATTCTATTTTACTGTTTCTCCTTTAAGCAACACACACACACACACACACACATACACACACACATTTTATGTTTCAAGTGAATTAAAGGCAAGTAGAGTGTTAGTTCCTTACATTCTGGGAAAAGAAAGAATGCAAAATTAATTAACTAATTTAAAAATGGGGCCACTGCTCCTAAAAAATCTTTAAAAGCAGAGAGTAAAAACAGCCTGCACCACCTCAGCTCACAAAGAACTACAGACTCGCTGACTTAAAACAAAAATTGTCCCCTTAGATTCTGGGGGTCAGGGATACACAAGATTTCATTAAGCAATGGCTGGGTGTAAGCAAGGTTGTCCTCGAACTGTCATAGCCTCCTGTCCTGAGGCTATGAGGGAAAGGCCCGTCTCTTCACCCTCTTCAGCTTCTAGTAGCCTTCTGGAGTGGTCTGGGTCTCCTACTCCTTTCTCCTCTGAGTTCACGCCCACATAGCCTCCCCCTCTAGTGTAACTCCTCTGGTGTCCCTCTTATGATGGCTAGTCGAAAACGATGACTTTAATGTCATTTGAGGCAAAGTTTATAAGGTCCAGGGATCAGGACATGAACTTCTTTTTTTTTCCGTTTATATAATTTTATTTGCAAAGGGCCACAACAGCACAGCGACACACTCAACTGCAGATGACGATGTCATCGGCGCAGGCATCAGCAGTTTATTATAAAAGGAGGCGGAGAAATTATTCACATAGTGAAGAGCTCAGAACGTCGGCAGAATGGGCAGCTTCACGTGACACCTTTTCAACAGTGAGCAGTCCACGGAATGGGCAGCTTCACGTGACACCATTTCAACAGTGAGCAGTCCACGGAATGGGCAGCTTCACGTGATACCATTTCAACAGTGAGCAGTCCACGGACTTTCCAAGGATGTCGCCGTCTCTAAATAAGAAATAATCCTTGTCGTCTAAAACTACTTTGGTGCCTCCATACTCTGGGAGAAGAACTTTGTCTCCAACCTTCACACTGACTCGTTGAATCTCTCCGCCCTTTCCTTTCGTGCCTGATCCCACAGCCACTACCATTGCTTGCAGTACTTTCCCTTGCGAGTTTTCTGGAAGCATGATGCCACCTTTGGTCCCCATTTCGGCGACACCCCTTTCAACCAAGACTCTGTCAAAGAGCGGGAAAAACTTTCGGAACGCCTGTCCAGCCATGACTCAAGCCACTGCCTCCACCGTTCAGACTCTGCGCTCAGGCCGCCACTGCAAGAAGAGTCCCCAGGACATAAACTTTTTAAGATTCCTTTTTTGTGCTTACCAGAGACTTCAGAAAATTGGATTGATGTCTATGACACTGTTCTCAGCTTTCAATTTAAAAAAAAAAAAAAAGAGTCTGCAGGTGCTAAACACTCGGGGAACTTCATATCTCCAAAATGATGCTGACTGGCTTAGGCATTGGAGGAGTTTGTCATGAAGTGAGACGGACATTTGTGAGTAGAATGGAGAAGAGTTAAATAGTACCTGTGATGGTGTGTGCTGATACCACCTCTATGTTAAGAAGATGAATGAGTTGCTACCCTGAATGGTTTAGCAATCCAGAGAATCCAAAGCAAGAGTGGGAGAAAAGTCTGTAGAGAAAGACTTACACTGCACACCCACATGACAAACTGGAGTCACCTTGGGTTGAAAATGAAGGAAGGTGGTATGTTATGTGCTTTGAATTGTCATAGTCCAGAAATGTAGACGTTTCCAGTGCTGTGTGTCTCCAGAAAGATCATGTCACGTCCCTGTTTACACAACTTGGAACATTTTCCTGATTTTAAAGTCTGAATTTGCTGACTACTTTTCTGCATTTTTGTTGCTGTTTCTGTCTGTTTGTTGTCTTTCCAAATCAGATTTTGTTTCACCTTGATGGAAACAAAGAAAACACAGTTGTATTTTTCCACATTGCAGAACAACATTGCAATAGAATTATAAAGTTAAATTATTAAATAAGATCTTATCATGCTGACTTAAAACACAGCCTATGTTTCTTAGGTTTCTTCTAAGTTAAGTAAAATAACATAGCAAATGACTCACATGCATGTGCAGGCACACACACACACACGTGTGCACACACACAGCAAATAAATCTGTTCTCAATAATTTTCCCAATAATCTAGGCATCTTGGCTACCTAAAATCAAATCTTTGCTCTTTCTATCTTTGTAAAAAGACTAATGTGTGGTTCAGTACTTGCTGCTCAAGGATGGGAACTTAGTTCAAACAGGCACTATTTCAGTAAAATGCCAGGGTGTCCACATATACGTGTAACCCCATGAAAGTAGAGATAAGAGGTCGCTGGGTAGGTCTTGCTGGTCAGTAGGCTATCTTCATACCCAGTGAGAGACATTGTTAATAATGAAAGGAAGGGGGGGGGAGGAAGGAAGGTAGAAAAGGAATAAAGAAGGGAAGAAGAAAGAAAGGAAGAAGAAAGAGAGGGAGAGGGAGGGAAGGAGGGAGGGAAAGAGGTAGGGAGGGAGAAACCGATATATCCACACATCCTAGAGCCCAGTTCTCCTGGCGTGACCATGGTGTTTCCATGGTGTGGCTTCGCTTGACTGCCACAGGAATCCTCAGAGTGAGAGGATGAGACTCGCCTGAAGCGGGGGTCAGCACCCGGCTTCCTACAGAGACAACTACAGAATTTAAGCAATTCATTGCTTCCTGGAGAGAAACATTAACTCCTGTATAAAACTAAGATCTTCTGGTAGTAGGCAGTACTTCTAAGACTGAAAGAGTCTAGATTAAACTATTTGTTAGGAAAAACAATTTAGCTGATATTTAAATGGTTTCTCAATCAAAGGAGCTGTGAAAACATATGTTAACCTAGTCCAGTGGTTCGCACCCTTCCTAACACTGACCCTTTAATATAGTTCCTCATGTTGTGGTGACCCTCAACCATAAATTATTTTTGTTGCTACTTCATAACTGTAATTTTGTTATCGTTATGAATCACTATGTAAATATCTGATATACAGATGGTCTTAGAAAAGGTCATTTGAGACCCCTCACTAGGGGTCACAACCCACGGGTTGAGAACCGCTGATCTAGTGTGATATAGTCAACCTTAGCTCTGAGATTCTTTTGTAATTCAACACTTCTGACTTCCCAATCACCTAACCCGGAAGTGTCCAGAGCCCTTTTTTTTTCTGTGAACTGAACTGGTTAAGGAATGACAAGCGGGGGGACTGGCAGATGCTCGACATTGCCTGGGGGACTCCTGGAGTCCTGTTGGACTCCTATCTTGGAGCTCCAAGGTTGAAAACCTGGTGGCCTTTGTTGGCACTAATGTTTTCCCAGGAGAAATCAGAAGCTTTCGGTCAACCCACTGAGATCTGTGCATCAGGGAGAGGCCCTACTTTCTTTTGAACCTGTAGAACTTAAAAAGGGAATGGGGGAACTGACTTGTCTGAGGAAAATGGAGTAACTTGGAAATGGTGTTTTTAGGATGTTTCTGAGATGACCAATGGAAATTGTGCGTTGATTTTGCTTTCCCCTGGTTATAGAAATAAAGACAGAACAGATGTGATTGGAAAAATAAAGACAAATTTAAGTTGAAATGGTTGAGCTGGGAAGAGGTGTTTCTCTGGTGACACACAGACACACAAGACACAGCTCCTAATGTGAAGGGGGAGAGGGAATATTACCTGAACAGTGGGCTACAAGGCCTGTTCCCAGTCTGAGACTGGGAGTCCCAGCACTGTGATGACACTAAAGCCAGTTGAAAGTATGATCTTAAGTTAGACCCACGAAGGAGAAAGGATTTGAGTCTGGGGTACCCTCATGCCTCTCTCTCCATCCTCACACCACACTCAGAAGTAAAAGGCACCCTTCAGAGGCAACCCTGGGGCTGAGCAGAGATGGGCGTGGCCTAAAAGATGTCCCTCCCACAGTTCTCCCACTGTTGTTCTGAAACTCCAATCTCTACAGCGCTCCCCCGACCCCATTCTCCCAACAAAGCCACCCCCTTTTGCTTGCCCAAACAAATTTTAATTAGTTTTCTATTTCCTGAGGTAGAAAAAGGTTCAGACCGGTGCTTCAGGAGCTTAGAAGAGTGACCAGAGCAAAGGCTTTGGAAACAAATGGCTCTGCATTTGAACCGTGACCATTCCAGCCACGTGAGCAATGGCATTGTTTCAGTTTCTACCATTGAGTGGCAATGTTAGTAAGACATCTGTCACAGAGTTGTGATGATGACTCAATGAAGCTCTTTTCTGTAGTCAGCAATATTAATTCCCAGGACTCCCAAAGGATTAGTCATTCACTCACGCATGCGTGCTTGAATTCAGGACTTACTTGATCAGCCAAGGGCCAGCGATAGGCTTAATGATGTATCTGGTATTGAGTAGGAAAATAAATACAAAAAGAATGTCAGGGGTAGAGAGTTGGCTCAATGGTTAGAGGATTGGCTACTTGTCCAGAGGACCCGAGTTTGATTCCCAAGACCTACATGGCAAGTATGAACTATCTGTGACTCCAGTTCCAACACTTGCTTCTGGCTTTATCAGGCAATCCATGCATATGGTACACAGACATATGCAAACAAAACATATATAAAGAAGAAAAATAAATAAATCTGCAAAGAAGAAGAATTTCAGGCCTCTGACCTCAGGAAGCGTGGTACCACTGGAGACACAACAACACTTATGGTGCCACAGACCGACCTCTGACCTCAGGAAGCGTGGTACCACTGGAGACACTTGAATGTGTATGGTACCACAGACAGTCTTCGCATAAGTATAAGTGAATGAGTGGCCAGAGTGTGGCCCAGTGACTCATCGGAGAGTCTTAGAGAACAGAAACTTTGAGCCAATTTATAACTAGAGTTAGGCCAGAGATGCACTTTTAAAGTGAAACGTCCTTACCTGCCTGTCAAACCTTCAGATTCTTTGGCCCCCTGAATGAAAAGCCCAGTGTAAAATGGCACTTCTGGCCTGTCTGACCCACAGTTATCACAGTCCTTACAGAGCCCCGTATTTTGACTTTGTAGGTCAAATTGATGTCCAAAGCCTTTTACATTTTTATGTTCTATTTCTATTTAATGTCTTACTTTCTAAAACAAGTATAGATTACTCTGAGTTATGAATCAATAGATGCCAGGTTTTTTTTTTTTTTGGTTTGTTTTTTTTTTTTTATTTTTTTTGTTTTTTTTTAAAAAACATTTATTTTTTTCTGTTTTTTTATTAATAATTGGCTGGTTTTTTTTTTTTTTTGGTTTGTCTTTTTTTTTTTAATGTCTTTGTGATTTCTTCCAACACTTGAGAATGTTCCTGGATTCCCTTCTGTCTAACTGGACTCAAAGCATGTGAGGTCTGAACAAATTTTTTCAGTGATAGTGGCGAGCATGATCTCATGGCACTGTGCTCCAGAAACCGATACAGCTGTGCCGGGTGTGCGCTAGGTTTCGATCCTTGTGAGCAATTAATAGTGGTCCCTCCATTCTCAGAATTGATCATAACTATGGGCTGATGATCCTAGCAGAAAGACTATAGACACCACACACGCCATAAACGTCATTAGAGCTCCTCCTCCATGTCGCTGGAGGCAATGTCAAATGCATATGGGAGTATAACGCATAGGTGTATGAAACTGGGGTAGTTGAATCACCAGATTTTAAGAGTTCCAGCCTTCATATGCTACTCCCTAAAGTGAGTGCTAGCTGTCACGTTCACTTTTTCCAGCCTAGGCCCATTGGGCCCTAATATTCTTCACTGCAAATGACAACCCCAAAGCAACAGAACATGATAATCTGAGTCATTCAGAAAGAAGGGGGAAGTGCCAGTATAGAGCTGGGGTCCAGAAACAAACTGCTCTGATCCCTTGCCATCTATCTTCTTGTCTATAGGCATTTGTAAAGATTATATATAGCTTTGGCTTTTCTTTGCTTTTGGTTTAACAAATAAAACTGTTGAGGGGAGTATGGGTGTTGGAACAAACTGGTGGTTTGCTCTTTGGTTCAATCATTTCAGTGATGGCCTGTAGTCCTTCTAGGAATTTTAATGCATTAAACTTTTTTCTTTTTGAAAACACACAGGGATAGTCCTATTTTCAACTCAGTACAGGACAGTAATCAGCTGTCAAAACAATGACTCCTAAGGATGGTCTTTCACAGCATTGCAGACTAAAGTATTTTTCTAAGGGATAAAAATATACTTGGGATTTGTTTATCTGAAT